TGAATATTGAGGAATGCGAATCCTATTAAAACGAACACATATATAATCAATTTTTATCCCTTCGAGATCCTTAAATTCTTATGTGGCAACACTCTGATACGGTACTCTTCGACCAAGGGTTATATCCACAGAAATATATCTAGTTAGAAGCTTAGTGTCTATGGTTAGAAGGAAAAAGTGTACGTACTTCGCGTGCCGAAACGACATCAAGACAGCTCCATTGCTCGCCGCGAGGCTCAGTCCACTTTCGATCGCAATCGGTGTTGGACGAAATTTAAAATGACGCGTTGTTCGATAATTACCTGCTCAAACACCACCAATATGGTTGGATCTTATAGTCGAGGTATTTCCTTCCATCGGTAAGTAACTGTTTGCCTTGATATATCTATTTTGAATTAAAAATCATTAGTTTTGTTGCTCCGTATTATTTTTATCAAAACGATCATGTGTCCAGTAATAGCTTTCCATTGCGGCTTTAATTTGACAGTCCAAATTTGCTGTGCTTGTAAAACCATCGATGTATAATTCAAGGTCAATTTGTTGGAGGACAAATTATCATTTTTTCTGTCAAAAATGGAGAATAGTGCTGTACAATGCGATTTTTTTACCCGATTAAAAAAATATCGTTTTTGAAAGCAGAAGAAATGATAATTAATTTTATATTGAATTATACTGTAATATTTGTTTTAGTTTTCCGTATGAACCTCATATTAAAAATAAATGGATTGGAGCAACAGGACTCTAAGGCAAATAGTAGGTATACTTACTGGACATGGAAACTTTAACAAACACCTACATAACATGAGTTATTCTGACAGTCCTCTGTGCAGGGCGTGCATGGAGACTGAGGAGATCATAATATTTAAGCAAAATGGTACAGTCTGTCTATTTAGTCATGAAAAAATTGAGGGCGTTGCGATCGTGCACGTAGCAACCCTGTGTAGTGAGACAAATGATTTTGATAGTAGGATTTTCTTTATTTATATTAAAATAAACCGGATATTTTTTTTTACTTTTATCACCCCAGAAAAGGTAAAAAACGGCGTATAATTCGTAGACAATGAGTTTATTCTACATTGAAGATTACAATATAGTAATCGTAATTTTTGATAAATCTTCTTTTTTATAATTGCCAAGTTGTTTTCTCGTTTTACTGCAATGTGTGCTTGTGTTCGATTAAAGCCTGTTACTTTGACACTCCTTGTAAGAAAACCCAATCTATTTCAGAATTTAACGCAGGACTTCTAGGCTACAATTAAAATCCGGATCGGTTTTGGCAATCCACTGATATTTTCTTCATGTAGGTACTGTAACGTCCGAGCACATTACTATAGGTAGGGTTTACTCTTCGGACGGTTTATAGTCAAGTGCTGGCCGTTAATATTTTAAATTATTACTTTTTCTTATTCGAATTCGCGTGTTTGTGTTTTGCTGGTGAATAGTCTTTTTTTCTGATCGAGACCAGCTTAGGGTGAGCATCGTTGTATAATTATTGTAAGTGCTTAACTGTAATTCTTATCAGAAATAAATCAAGACTAAGGAGTGCTACCAGTTTTTTCATTGCGCCACCCACCTCCACCATTAGACTAAGTTGCCATAAGGTGCCATAGTACCTCTTTTTTCACAGAGTAAAAGAACTGAATCTTTTGTCGAAGTGCACAAATGTTGCAGTTAACCATTTATTTCTTAGGACGACTATCTATGTTTCCCAGGGGTTTCAAATATGCCACCATTTTTATAGCCTTCATCTACAATACGTATCACTATATTCTCTGATTTTCCTGAAAGTAAGTTTTAAAAATGTAATACCTATAGATATTTGGCAAAAAGAATGGAATCGCCACAATGATCAAATTAATGCTATAATTTTAGTAATATAAAGCACAAACTTTTTATTGGCATATGTAGATAAAAATCGTACATTCCTAACAGGTATATTAAAATCAATGATAAATTTGATTATCCAAAAGTATTAAAAGTTCGGGCCGCACTACAATATAGCCTTCTAACATTTTCAATCTAACCTATAAATGCATAATGTAAGCAATACTTATTTTAGACTTAAATTCATATATTTAGTAAATTTGAAACTTCTGGTAACCAAAACTCAATCAGTAACACGATTACATACCAGTCATAACTGCCGTTCGAGTTTTAACATCCTACAAATATGATAAAATGTGTCTAGCTTCTTGTTCCAATAAACATCACTGAAAAACTTTATAAATAATATCCTGAGCTTCACTCCGATTAATTCTCTTCATTTTTAACACATTTCTACGGAGTTTAGAAGAAGTAGCTTCAGTTTAATCAAAACAAATTAAGAATGCAGAAAATCGAGCTAAAAAATCAAGTTGTTGACAGTCGATATACTTTGTCGATATTTAGTGTTGTCATACTTGTGTCAAATGTTAGTTCCTCAAACATTATTTCATGACTTTATAGACAGACTGTACACGTTGGTCTCCGTCGATCGATATCGTTTTTTCAATCGATAAGAATTAGTATGCCGTTTCAAATACAACATGTATTCGATGCAAGTGAAATTATGTCTTCCATCACTAAATTAAGATCGTGACGTCATGATACCTACACAAAATGTGGCACGCTCGGTCTCCATATAAATCGACGAACATTTTCCTTCTAACTAGATTTATTTCTGTGGTTATATCCATGAAGCTAAAGATATAACTGGAGACCAAACTCCTCCATACCTACTTGAAGCATAAAAATTTGACCTTGAATGGTTTCTATTTCATTCCTTAGATACCCTCCTCTCTTTCTAATAGGGCGTCCACACAATTACAAAACAAAGGGGACCAGTTTAAAGAGTATAACATTAAGGCAAAAAAAAAGTATCAAGTTTTCCTAAGTAGATGTAAAGTTTACACATGAAATTAACAGATCTAATCTAGATTCTCTGTCAAATATGAAATTGACTTTATTAAAGTTCCATACAAAAAGCCTTTTTTCCGAATCTACTGGACCAAATCTTGTAAAATTTATCATCCTTTGACCTAAACACAGATATACAAAGTAATTAAATTTGTCTTTATAAATAAGGGTTATTTTCGGGGGACAAATGAGGAAATTTAAAAAAACTTTTGCTAACCTTACTGTGTCGTACGTATAATAGTATTTAATGACTCTCATTAGGGGGTTCTCAAATAAAAAAAATAACAATTTTTGAGTTTGATTAAAACTTAGCAGTGTGGGAATTAGAGTTGGCAAAAAACTCTTCTCAATAATCACCAGCCTATTAATGTACCCACAATGGGTCCATTCCAGATTGGAGGGTATTTACAACTGCAGATGCAATCGTGACAAACTGCTTAACGTACCTTCCAAAACACGGAGAAGATCTAATACGCAAAGTGAACTACAAGACTGCAGACTACGATTGTCAGCTTACCTTCCTTCCGACCGAATTGAAATGGAATAAGCACCCAGTAAATATTTCACCATTAAGTCAATTTACTGATTTACATATCACATTTTTCTCTTACATTCTCAGATGTAATTGTCATTCTCAGATAAAAATAAAACAACATTATGTTATTTTTAAATTTAATTTTTATGTGACTAAAAAAGTATAGTTTTGATGACAATAAATACTATTTGATTGTTACCATAGCAAGTCTATCGGACAATCCACTACGAGATGTTGAAGGTGTAGAAGGCATGGTAAATGCATCACTTTTTAGATCAGATTGTCCCGACTGGAAAAAAAAAAACGAATTATGGTTATTTTGTCTAAACCCTGGAAATAGGGATTTAAGATATTTCGAGACCATTTTTTCATGACATATTACATTAAGTAAAATAAAAATATTTTATTCCTTCTAAACGTGAACTTGTGGCTCGACGAACTTTTTCGCTTGTGTGTGCCCATGCCTTCTACACCTTCAACATCTCGTCGTGGATTGTCATCTTAAATACGCGTACTTAAAAAGGACGTCGAGCCACAAGTTCGCGTTCTCACTCGGAAGTTTGTATTCTATCCATTCTATGTGAAACGGTCTATAGTGGAATATAATTTTACAATTTATAGGTTTTAATAATAATTCAACAAATTAAATTGCATGTAGGGATTATTGATTAATGAGATTGACATGATGACGGTAAAAAGTTAATAATTTTTATTAATTTGCAGCTATGTATCTGCCTTCTGATTATAATATTTGCGTACCATTTTTTATTATAGATTTTATTTAATTGTAGTTATTGCTTAATAACCCTTTTGTTTAAGTTTTTTGTTACATTGAATTGGATTTCAGAGTATATTTAATGTACAATCTTATTGATATATACATAAAGTTTCAAGTCCTATGCAATTAGTGACGTGTAATACTATACTATTAATACCAATTTTCTAAAAGTTTATGAAACATAAAATTAGCGAATAACATCAATGACCGGTACAGGTTCCGGGAAAATTTAGGTTTATGTCATAGCCACCAGGAGTCCAATGAAAGGTCAATAGAGGTCAAATAACTTTGCTTCAACCAATAGTTCCGAGTTTGGCCCTGTTCTTTTATCTTCATGGTTATATCGGAGTTGGTCGAATAGCCGTCCACTCAGTTGGCCAACCATCAGTCAGATAGTCGGTGGTTGGAGCACAGATTGGAGCAATCTTGGAAATCGCATATCAAACGCACTAACCACTAGTGCACATAAATAAAAAATATATGGAATTTAGAAAAAAATATTACTTTTATTACAAATTTTAAATAAGTCTGCCTAAATGCATCGCGCTTCATTGAGCCATGAGATAATAGCCTTAAGATGAGGAGGTCTCAGACCTTAAGCATTATAATAACTAATGAAATAATAATAGAAGGTTTATTTTTTTATTTCAATATTTTCTAAGTATAGTTATAATTATTAAGTCCATGGCCCTCTTTCCTAGATTAATACTTTACTCTTTGGCTCCAACCGTGTTCCAATCAAAGATAAAGCACTCGGTGAGTGACCACTACCATAGATATTATTCTATGCATAAATGTCAAGAGTTCTTTTCCCACGATAGATCCATTATTTTATGTACCATTAAATCACTAGTAAATTAAACAAAACAAATAACACAACTCCCTATAATGGAAACCTCAACACATAAATCTAAGAGAAAAATGCCTAAAATAGAAGAGATGACTAAAGAGCAAATAAGTCAAACGATCATCAAAAAACGAGAATGCAATGCCAAAGCACAAAAAATAGTGGAAAGTTTGTTAGAAAGGTCTATTACAGAGAAGTTCTTTTTGCAGTGTTTACCAGACATTAATCAATGTCACTTCGACGACATTGTTGAAGAAAGAGCAATAATACAGTTGTGTGGTTATCCCATCTGTCAAAACAAGCTCTCCACAAAAGATATTCCCAAACAAACGTATAGAATATCGTTGAAAACGAACAAGGTTTACGATATTACCACACGAAAAAGTTTTTGTAGTAACAGCTGTTATAAATCTGCAGTATATGTGAAGAGACAAATGCTGACTAGCCCACTGTGGTTCAGAGAGTATGAAGAAGTACCGAATTTCCACTTACTACCATACGATACCATTGGTAGTCTAGGCCAAGAAGTTGACTTGGGTTTGGTAGAAAAAATTGAAACTAAATCTGATAATAAATTAATTTGTGTCAACGAGTTAGCTAATGCAGCTTTCACTGAAATGGGCAGTAATATTGAGGTATCCAAAAGTATTGAAGCAAATCAATCACTTCAATCAAACCTAGATAATATTAATAATGAAGGAGAATGCAATTATAGTTCAAACTATGTAGAAAGGAGAAAAATAGAAAATGAATTTCCTAATGGTCCAAAGGTAACTTCACTTGCAGGTACAAGTAAAGTAGAAAAAAAGAAAAAATCTCTAACAAATCCATTAAATATAGTTGGTGATATTGTGGAAAAGCCTGAAAGAAAAATTGATCCAATACTCCAATGTGATCCCTATAAATCTATCAACAAAGAAGGTGAAAATACAAGGCCACCTAAAGTAACAAAAAAGAAACAACCTAAAGTCACCATATTAACAATTGAAGTAGAGAAATGTTTAGCTGAATGGTTTACTGTGGATACATTACTGCTGATATTTGGTGAAGAGAAGACTAAAGAAATGCTCACCGACAAAGGAGAATGTATTAAAGAATACCTTAACAATTATGCTAAGAGTGTATTTTACACATCAAACAGCTATGATCAGTACCAGGCTTTATGTAGGAAGCTGAATATGCTGGAGCTGGAAGAGAAACGATTAGATGCTCATCAAACTTTACAACGGGAAACAAAACCATTGCCTGATTATTCAATTTTACAAGAAGAAAGTAAAAGAATACAATTAAAAGTCAAGGCTTTTTTCTCTGGAGAAACTGAAATCTCCGAAATTAATGATATAGGAGAGAAACCTGAGAATGAATATGAAGAAAACTCACAGGTTACACAACTGCCGTTAGTCCACAAACATGCTCAAAATGCTCTACGTAGAAGAATTGTTTGTGAACATTTAAATAAAGTACTGCCAGATATATTGAAATCTCTTGGAATGTTGTCTCTGTCAATTAGTTCTGATGTCCGTCTTCTAGTAAATACTTTTCAACTGAAAGCAAATAATATAATGTTCAAACCTATTCAATGGACATTGATTGCTATAATAGTCATCAAATTACTTTCTCTTAGAGATAAAAGACTGGAATATTTGTTAGAACAACCAACAGCTTTTCAACATCTTCAATTGCTTTTGTTGAGTTACAACCAGGATGGAGGTTACCTGGACAGGCTTATATCATGGCTGACAGACACTGACCGATTGTTAGATACTAATGATACCCAACTGACTGTAGAATAGCCTCTTTATTATTATTTGAATTATTGTGATAATAGGAATTATTAATTTATTAAAGTAGTGTTATGCTTAAACGCTGTAAGTGGTGCTATCGCGTTTTATTTTTTTAATATTACACCAGCTTATGCTAGCTGTCAACATAAAGTTAGTTTTATACACTATTACTATTGGTAAAATAAACTTCTTTTACGAATTTCAACGAAATCAAAGAAATTTGAAGAAAAAATTAATCCAGTAGTCTGCCTCTTCAGGTTGAGCACAAAAAAATCTATATCCAGTAGTCGGCCCACTGATTTAAAATGCAATAAACAAATAAAATGCCTCTAACACTTAATTAAATTACAATACCAACATTTGTATAAACTAAGTTAATCAAAAATATACTTTAATTTATTAAGTACCTACACTTTGGTGTATTGGTAGTTATTCAAAATCTAATTTGACTTAATTTTATCAGTCTAGTTTGTTCGTGCCATTGAATTGCATCATTTTTACTTTAAAAAAATCAATAACAAATAGTAAGGGATTCGTACGGCGAAGTGAGTAGGGTACAGAGTTCCGAGCCAGGCGTCATGTTAATTCGAACGAGTGGTAGGTACCATAAGTTTAAAGCAACAAATGACAACAAAATAATATAAAAATATTTATTTCTTCAAGTACTCAATTCATTTAGGTACTGCTTAAGTTAGGATCAATTATAGAGAGCGTAGCGCCGACTAAGTGCAAAGACCCTGTTACAAGGACGGATGTTCTGTTGATGTTTTTGTTTTGGCTCTTAATACTAATTAAAGCTTCTGAGACACTCTCTAAGATGGTAATCTTTGTGGAATTGGTCCCTTTTTTTATATTTTCCCAAGTTTCTGCATTTCTGTGGCATCTAGCGAGTAGATCTTTGTGTTCAACTACCGAGTAATTGTCGTTATGCTTATGCGTTCTCTTGTAGGCAGTAGGTATAACAAAATATATATTTTTAAAATCAATGTCTATCAACGGATTCAATAGCACTTCAGAGTTTCGATCGCCAGTAGCACTGAATATTAAACTTTTATGTTCATTTCTGAAACAAATAAAATTTGTGTTATGTCTATCTGTCACATTTAACATTTCAAGAGCCACTATTTCTATTAACTACACTATTACAGTGTAAATGATGAATTCCCATATAAAGATAGAACTTTTGTATTATATTCTTAAATGTTTTGAGAAAAGTAATAGGTTGGGAAAAAAGTCTTTTCGCATATAATATGCATAAACGTGTGATAAAATCTTTTCGTTTCGGTATCATTAAAAAGTTTAAATTTTAAAAGAAGATAACCCCGAATTCAAATTAAGAAAATGTGTGATTTTCATTTTTTTCTTACTGACAAAATGAGTGAATCTAATGATGAATTCGATACATTTTAAAATTTTATTATAAAAAAGGTAAAAATGCAACGAAGGCTGTAGAAAAAACCCTGGTTGGCTGTATCATTGATACAGCCATATTTTATGCGTGGATACGTCTAAGTATGAATGGATATATGAGTAATTGATAAAAAAATTGAAGACACTAAACACTAAATAAATAAATATTCGTTGCGTTCATTTGTTGAATGAAAAAAGTATTCACTAGCGCCAACAGATGGCGTTAGTGCATATACTCCTGCTGACAGAATGCCCCTCCCCCTGCAGAGCAAGCATAGTTTACTTATACGCCAATAGATGGCGTTAGTGCATAAGTTCCTGCTCACAGAATGACCCCCCTGTAGAACGAAAACATAGACGTATCCACGTCAAAAAAATTAGACGTTTATGGACCTATTGCACAAATTTGGTTTAAGCGTTTTCAGTCCAGAGATTTTAATGTCAAAGCACGTCTTTTTATAAAACTTTCATAATAATCATATGAAACCACTATCATACTTTTGGCATGATATATGTAAATGTCAATACTTATGATAAAGAGCGGGTAAGTTTCTTTCACTTGTTCTTCTTGTCAGCTAAAAGTAAGAAGCTTACTTGAAGAAAAAGCCATTTTCATTTTATTTCATTAATTTTTCTCCTCAAAATATTATTATTATATAAAGGAAAATCTTTTTTTTTTTTCATTAATTTAAATTATCCCGCGAAAATAATCAGTCACGTGACGCGCATACATACGCTTGTTGTAGGTTTAATACACAAAAAATTTAAAAAAAAGTAGATTATCTATTTCATGAACAAAATAATCCTACTACATATACCTACTGTACCTAAAGTCTAATGAAGATGTTAAAATATGATGACCCCCTTGAAATGAATGCACACACCCTAAAACTATCTATTGACGACAAATAAAACCATAGTACTACAGCACACTTACTTATTGTTCTCTGTAAACCATTTAAAACATATTTCCATGGATTCTTTAGTATGTGCTCCATCTAAGAAGAAAGTCGCGTAGCTGGTTTCCACTATCTGATAGCGGCCGGGCCATTTGCATTCCTTCAGACCTAAAGCCGTTTCCATTGGAATTTGAGTAGTCATGGTGTCATACACGACTTCATTCAAACATTTACGACCGTTTGTTCGATATGGAGCGTCGAATTCTTTATAACCATTTCGTACTACTTTACCACTAACGATTTCCATATTAATATTGGTGTTACTGAACAATCGTTGTTCAGCCAGCCGTAGCCAACTGTGCGCCAATTGTATAGCCAGGGAGGCGTTAGTCTGATAGGCTTCGAGATTCGCTTGAAGTGTTATTTTATACCCATTCGGAAAGATATAATCGTCGTATTTAGGAACTATGTTGAGAGTGCACTACAAAGAAAAAAAAAAAAACAATGAATACATTCGTATAGCACTAGCAGGCCAGTTCTGCGAATGTTTACGTAATAACTGCACGGCTGCAAGTCAGGTTACCACTATATCTCAAATTTCGGCAATGGATTTTGACCTCTACCCAATATATTAAAGTTTAAATTCGCGTGTGGAAATTTATCAGCTTTCTATAGCACGTACTTACTACTCTAAAGTCGTAATTATGTAAACATAAGCAAAATTGTCCTGCACGCCTTTTTCTTTCAGTCCTTGTAAATATATACAACGTGTCCCAAAATTCAACGATAAGCGGGCGCCAAGAGGTACCCTTGCTCATGTGAACTTATGGAAAAATAAGAAAAAAATTATATCTAATCTTTTTTATTATAAAATTAAATTCGAAAATCTTCGAAAATTTACACCCTTTATGATATTTTCAACTACCACGACACAACTTCTCAATTATGTTCAATCTTTTTTTGGTATCGGATACCTAAGTAGCACTACTATTCGCTACAACTCTTTCGAAAATTTTCGAATTTTATTTTATAATAAAAAAGATTAATAAGATATAATTTTTTTCTTATTTTTCCATAAGTACACATGAGCAGGTCTACCTCTTGGCGCCCGCTTATCGTTGAATTTTGGGACACGTTGTATATAGATTTTTAGTTATTTCTGGTTCCCTATCGTCATAGGCGTCTTACCTTGACTTGTTGTGCGACGTCAGTGAGTACTTCCATGGCGCATGGCGGCTGGTGCACTGTGTACGCCTCGCAGCCAGGTTTCATGATGCCGGCCTTCGCGGCCGCTATCCGTTCCAGTGTATCACCCAGTATAGAGGTGTGGTCTAGACCTAACGCCGTTATACCAACTATTGGAACTTTCCTACAAAATTATATTTCAATTTAGAATTATAATTATTTCAGTTTCGGTAATTGGAACGTATCATGGACGTAGTTACAACTGTGCCACTGATTAACGGGGTCTCCGAGCAGCGCATATGCTAATGTGTATCATCATCATCATCATCAGCCCTTTTACGTCCCCACTACAGGGGCTCAGGCCTTCCTTATGGATGGTTAAGGACGATAGGCCATGACCCACCACGCTGGCCCAATGCGGATTGGAGGGTATTAACGACCGCAAATGCAGCCGGGACCAACGGCTTAACGTGCCTTCCGAAGCACGGAGTAGCTCGAGATGATATTTTTTTTTGGTCACCTATCCCGTGACCGACCCTTGCGAAAGTTGTTTAACGACAACGATCGCGGGCCGAGGCGCTTATCCAATACGCCACCGAGCTACTCTATGTGTATCAGTATTTTTTTCTTTTTTTTTTTTATTTAATATTGCTATTTGCGATCGGTCGCAAGACCATAAGCGAATTTGTTGATGTAGATGGAGTATTTTTAAATAATATCCACAATGTCATTCGAAGTTATTTATGACGTAAAATCGAAAAGATGTTTGATACAGTACCTGCTTAGGGCACGCTACGCTACTTTATGAGAGAAACTCACCAATGGAGTATAGCTTACTTTATCGTATTATAACTAAAGCTAGCACTCTAGCAATAGCTATAAAACTTTTTATTGATATTATCAATGAATAGGTTTTTTATTAATTTATAATACACTTGATTTATTATTTACATATTTAACCAAATGGTCAAAAAAGCGAATTTAGACTAACAAAGCTATTTCGAAAATTGAAATAAACCAAATAGTTTGAAAAAATATAAAGATGATAAAAAATATATCTTTATAAAACAAAATTGACATTATTTATTGACAAATTCAATCAAAATGTTTATACAGCTATGACTAGTTATAGGGGGAGTTAGGCGGTCGCTCCCCTAGGCTGGAAATGTGGAGAGTAATGATATTAAACTATACAATTCTCTATTTTAGAGCAACTCAATTCATTTTCAAGTCACAAGCCGGGTATTTTTTTACTTATATCTCCAATAACCTATTTGATCATCTAACAAACATGCTCCGTTGAGCGCCCGGCCCGGCTCGGTTACAACCTAAACCATGCTTTAAGTGTGACAATTAGATGTAGAGCAGATATACCAACAAACCTTACAACATTAGTCGTGTCGAGTAGACCCCCGATGCCGACCTCGATTACAGCCACGTCCACGTTCTCCTTCAGGAATACGTGAAAAGCCATCACTGTCAGGAATGAAAAATATTTCGGCATATCACCATCGAAAGCCTGGAAAATATCAAGCACATTTTACAGGTAAGATTGCCTGTTGGTACAGAAAAAACCTGTAGGCCAATTTTGCTAATGTGTATAGTTGAGATTCTACTGAGATGCGATTATTACTAAAATAATCTCAACTAATCTGAACTAATACAATAATCTCAACTACTTGCATTTTGGCAATGTTCCTTCTTCCAATTTATATCTGTCACCATTGATTTGTGAAGAAAAAAGTAATGTAGACTCCACTCAAATCGTAAAGATCACTCGTAGTGAATCTGTATGGCTTAAAGTTCATGACTTTAATAAAGCCCTTTCAACCCTCTCAAGATACAAGAATTTAGTTTTCATCGCGTCAATTTCACCTCAGACTAAGACCGTCCACAGAACACCACTGTAGTATCATCTGCATAAGAAAATATTCGACTGCAACCAGTGTAGCCCGTTTATGTAGACTTAGGAACAGTGTTGGTCTAAGATCACTGCCCTGTGGGAACCCAAAATGACGTTCTCTTTAGAACTTTTATCAAATTTTACTGAACCTGAGTTCATTCTTGCAACTAACTTTTAAAAAGTGAAAAAGCAACATGTCTTACACAAATATTGTTTAAAACGGTGGGTACAGAAACGGTGTCAAATGCTTTTTTAAGGTCTTAATATGTAGTAAGACCTTAAGTCTCAAATAAGGGCTTCCAGTCACCCCACCCTGACAAAGACACGTTGAGTGTAGCTAGCCTACCTGATAAGAACAAGCTGTGATTCTGTGGACGAAACTGTATCCTGTGGTATCCACTACTGTCCTAAAATTATTATTATTTCACTAAGCTTAATCAATCAAGTAGGTATATAATAACTTTAATTATATCACTAAGGATGTAACTTACTGTGGCATAAATATATAGATAATTTTTTAGAACATATCTTTACCTGAGTTGCTTCCAATTTGTCATAAACTTGGTGGAAATATTTGGCAAATTCCTCTTCACTGAGGATACGACCATCCAGGCGAATGCGTTCACGTACTGCTATCAGATGTGGTGAGGAGTAGAAACCAGTTCTGTAGCCATGGTGGCGCAATATTGACTCGCACATAGCACTGGTTGAACCCTAATGATTTGATGACACAAATTTTTAAGAGATTTTGGAAAGATTTATATTTCAGAAAAGGTTCAAAACAAAAAAGAATGCATTATGCAGATAGAACTATCCCATCTTATATCTTCACTCCATATTCCTTGGTTTTTGATTAAAAAACTTTTTAAGGAGTTTACAGAAAATTTAAACTCATAATTGCTGTACAATTATGATTTTCAATAATAATTGATAATTGTAATTTATATATAATTGTATTGATTAGACTGCTCTTGACTATTTTTAGATTAAATTTTAAACATTTATACTTCTGATTTATAATAATTTTGATAATATTTAACCTTAAAGACTATGTAAAAATTAAAAACCATTTGTTAGAGTATAGCCTACTCGAGTCTATTATTAAGAAGACCACCAAAGCTGCATAAGGAATTATATTTTCATTCTGCACTGAACAATTGCAATTTCTAAAACTACTCTCTTTCACTGATACCCACTTATAAGTGGGTATCAGTAAAAGAGTAGTTGAGTAGTTTTAGAAATTGTATTTATGTATTTATTTATATAAAATGTACTTATAAATATAAAAATAATACTATTATCAACATTGACTAACATACCTTCCCTTTTGTTCCCGCCACATGAATCACAGATAACTCATCCAATTTTGTTAATGTCACACCAATTCTCCACAAATAATTCTCCATATCTTCTATATTTGTAGATTTCTAAGGACAATTTATAAGCTATTTGAAAAAATAATGATAATTATATTTGATCAATTCTGCGCTCACAATGCCTTACTGAAAAATACTCCCAATAAAAAATGCTTAAAAAAACAATTTGTTTAAAAAAAGACCCTGGCACTTTGAACTAACCTGTCCCATTTGGATATCTCTTAAAGCTTGGTTTATTGTTGCTTTGTTTGACTGTAAAGAATTTAACTTGCATACTGCATCCTGTTAAAGAAAAAATATTTTTGTACCAGTTTTATTCCAGTATAAGACAATATAAATATATAGAAAAACACTATAAGGATTGTATTCATAGGATAGTCATTTTCTGTAAATGCTTATTATTAGAGCCCTGGAAAAGTAGGAAAATAGGTATAAATATACAAAACACAACTTCCAAAATTGAACTAAAAGTAATTTTAATGTAGATAAATATACCTGAATGGAAATTTAAAGCTATTTGCTTCCATAATGATCCAGGGCCATCTTACTATACCCAACAATAAGAAGTAGGACCCAGATTAATATATTCAAAAGTTTTTTATCACTCGATAAATATAAAACAACTATTATTATTGTAAATTAAATAAAATTAATGAACTAAGTAACAATACACGAATCGACTTTTATTGTAAGATAAGAATAAAATATTTTTCATTAACTTACCTCATAAGAATGTTTCACGGAAAACATTTTAACTACGAACCTACGCACTACAATTTTACGGCATAAGTAGATGTTATTCATCAGCTGGCTATACTGAAACTGGACTAATCTGGACTGGACTACGAATGCAATCAACAAATGTAACCAAAAATGTATTTTAAGCTCGATAACATAACCAATCACTAATTATTTGTACGTACGCGAGGTTACGCTACTTATCGACGAGTCGCGGTGGCATTTGACCCACATCATCCATTATCGTAGCCAAATCTGTATAGACAATCACTTTGATGAGGAGCGTGATGACGGTCAGTATTTATTACTTATTGTGGCTAAAATAAATGTAAACAAAATAAACAAGCAAGACATAACCTCAAACGTGTTTTTTTTTAATTGTTTTAGCGGCACTGGGTTCTTGCCCCTTTTGCTACTTATTATTTAAGTTTTTTTTCAGTGCTCACTTCATCTCATATTTTAGTGTTTTATAAACTCTGCTTTTTTATGTTGTTGGTGGAAGCCCAAGTTATAAGAAACACGAAACGATATCAGATTTATTAATTTTCGATACTCAGTTCAGCATTTTTTTTAAATTCCTACTAACCTACTTTCTCATTAACGTAGACAGAGAAGACAATAGACTAATGGCAAAGAGTGCATTTGTATTTTGGCACCAAAACGTCAAGATTTTAGGCATCGAAATTGTTGGACTCAGATAATATACAAAAAAAGTTGGAAAGAAGTGTATTTAAACAATGTTTTATATGGTGTATAAAGTTTATATGTAAGAAACGTTACTTGCAAATTAAAATAATGGTTAAGTGCAATGTTATATTTTGCAAAAATAGATCCAAAAGAAATATTGTAGGTGTATCATATTTCAAGTAAATTAGAAGCATTTTGTTTATTTTTTCGTCAAGGTAAAATTTCTCATTGCCATAACCGATGTGAATTTTATTAAATACGACACAAAACAAGCTAAAAATATTATAAAATAAATTGAATAAGAATATAACCTCAAATCATTAAGACCGACATCTAAGTGCTTAAAATCTCCCCTCAAAGTACTTTAAAATTAAATTATCAATATTTTGTTAAACAAATATCAAAATGTTTGAAACTCAACTATTTTACAAGTACATAGAACTACAAAATGTGATTAAAAAAAATCAATCGGGCAGTTTTTAAACTTTTGATTAAAATAAATCCATGTTTGTAACCTAAAATATTAGCATTTAATGCCTCTCAGTAAAGTTTTACATGATTATATTAAAATACCGCTTAATTTACTGTAATGTAATGTTAAATTATATCTTCTAGACTTAATTGATATTATTTCTGTATTTAGAATCACTAAAAATTGTGCTATGTATTTGGTTAGCAATGTTTGAATTTATAGTAGATAATATAACTAATTTTATCAATAAATCTCGGACAAATGTGTTTTTCCTTCATAAAATGTGTCTATAGTTTCAACGTTTTTATTTCATTCTAAAATGACCTAAGGTTTTAAATAAAGGTCTTTTCAACAGCTATCGAGTAAACATACAGTGGCGCTGCTGGACTGTCGTTAGCCCAACATCATCACAAAGTTTCTTATTTGCCTTTCTAAACATAATTTTATCATTGAATAGGTACGTTATTTTCCTTTAAACGGCTTTCTTTATTATCTATATACTTTTTTTTAAATTTTGGTTTAATTAAATTTTCAAAATAGATTTGTTTGTCTAAATTAGACTTTTTTGAGCATATTCTAATTTAGACAAACTTAGTTTTATTTAGAAAACTACAGTAACCAAGCCCATTGTTTCAATGTGCTCGTTAATTTAAGATGATATATAGTGTATCAATATTTATACAATAAAAAAAAATGTTCCTCTACTACTATTTTTTTTTATCCATAGGAAGTTACATCATATTCGGTGACTACAGCTATAATTTGATGAAATCGCAGAAAATAGATAGTTTCTGAACATTTCTACAAATTATGCGGACCATTTTATTCCTCCTTTGCTAATAACAAAATATCTCCCCATAATCGAGGAACATTTAACTACATAGTAACACTGATGATTTATTTGTTGTCCCTTACGGTGGCACGCCTAATAGAACTCTAAGTACTTACTCTAAGCTCATTAAGTATGAAAATCTTATTTCATTTTTTTTAATAGTTTTTTCTTGGCTTGAATGCTTGTCCTTTAGCCGAATCTTCTTCCTATTTCATAAAGATTGTCAGTAGTGTGATACATGAATTGCCGTATTTTAGCGTTCGGATTGCCGAACATTGAAGCATTGGCTCTTATTTGATTTTTAAGTGCTCGATTGCCGTATGATACAGCATCGCCGTACAACACTGGTGGTAGGTAACCATACAAATTAACATGACACATCTCAGTTGAGTGATTGACATTGTTATTTTTTAAAGCAAAGGATTTATCATCGACACAGCCAATTAACGGATTAAAGGATTCATCTACAGGTGACCCACTCGTATAATCTATTAATGTAGGATTTAATTCATAATATATTTTAAAATTATCTAAGTTTCACTTTTTATACTTATTGATCTTGTTGTCTCAGTACTTAATATGAGCATCAATTTCTTTAAAATATATAATGTTCTCTCTCTAATTTATCGTTTAATCAGTTACTATAATCTTTACTTCTCTATCGATAATACATTCACTTAATTACAATCTTATTAATGCGTTGCGGGTTGAGATATTGTGGTAGCCTAGCGTGCAGTCATGTGTGCATTATTCTGAAGTGACTACAAAATACTTAGAACAAGAACTGTTAGCTCAGAACATCTGAGAACAGTCTTTGGCGTTTGATTTATGTTTATTTGCCGATAGAGCCGATTATTATACGTATGCTCAGTTGGTATATATACAACAGTGGGTATATATTGTCTACCGTATGCCCGTATGCCCAAAGAGAAACTAAACTTTTACGATTTAGATGCCATTTACAGCCATTTGACATAGCGGTGCAATAATCTTTTTATTGTCTTTTTAAAAGCTTTCATAAATTGCAACTTGACTTAAGCTAATACTTCTTTATTACTATTCAAATAAACTTTACATTGTAGTTCGGGTAACTCTGTGAAGTAACAGCATAGAACATGACCGAAGCAGATGCTACCAGGAGACCACTAACAATGCCAGAAAAATTCATACCTTACTTGGAAAAGTACAGAATTTATAAAGCTTTTAAGGTGAAATGTGTAACTTAAAGCTTAATATATTACAATAATATTTTATTTTCTGTAGGATATACGACATTTTCTATGACACATTTCAGGATATGGTTGAAGATCTCGTATTGACTTTACCAAGAGACCATTTGAAACAGATTAAAATATTTTTGGGGCGCCACTTCCATACCACCAAGGATATAGACAGGGTTATGATAATCGTCTCACCGGAATTAAAGATCGGTAAGTAATCGGTAGGTACAATCTTTATTATGCCGGAAATTCATTAGACGGGCATGCCCGCGGGCAAGTCAACATCCCTATCTAATCTCGTTACTCATGTCACGTTACATACATATTTTCCTATATAATTTATTTTCTGATCCATAATAAATTATTTTGGCACCCCTCTGACAGTGGCGCACGTGCCTCCCACTCTCCAGGTCCAGGTCTGGGTTTGTGATATATCAGCGTCGTTCCTACACTAGCCAGCTAGCCAGACATGCAGCCCTGTCTACAGGCTGCTATTACGGTAAAGCGGGGAATTCACCATCTAGTGAATTCCCCGCTTTACCGTAATAGCATTTTGTTTTGTTTTGCTGAATTGTGGCTTTTGAACACATAAAGCAAGTCAGGGCTCGGAAACGTTATTCAAAATAACGTTTTTAAAACGTTTCTTATGGTTCTTTGGGCAAGATTGCGTTCGAAACGAAAACGAAATGAGAACGCTTTAAAAAACCGGTTTAATCCGCAAGACGGTGCCGCGCGGGCTGTAAGGGCGGCGTACATTTATTTTATTACGTTATTTACAGTATGCGATGCAAAAAACGCAAAATAAATGGTTAAAAACGTTTTATTAATCGAAAACAATATGATTCTGTTTTTTCCAAAATCGTTTTTTATATCGTTCTGTTCGAACGAAACCGAAACAAAGTGTTTTTTAGGTATTTAAGATGAAAACGTTTCGAAAAATATACCGGTTTCCGACCCCTGAAGCAAATACGATATTTTAACGTTTTTTAGACTTATACAATCATCATCAAATGGGACGTATGCGTTTCATATTGATTATTATAGACAGGCTTAGAGAATCAATCTAAGTAGAAAGCTTGATCGGTTGAAACACTAAGAAAAACTACCACAACATACGTATGCGCCACAGTCAGACCCCACACTCAACAGATTTTCTTGCTTTTTCACGAGAACGTTCTTTTTTCATCAGCCCTTCTATTACTGCGGCCTTTACAATAACGGCAGCAAATGTTTACCATATTACTTAAGTACACTGCATGTAACATATTTTTACAGATATCAAGTCTTTGGTAAAAGAATTGATAAAAGATCTAGGATATATAGTTATCACAAGGCGTTGTGTTATGGATCGTTACGAAAAGGTGCGGATTAAATCCAGTATTATCTATCCATTACTATTTTCTAATTTCTTTCTATCACTACATTACACAAGAAACCCAGAAGCCGAAATTATCATGAATAATTTAGAATTATATTTAAAATTTACTTTTCTGTTCATTCAGTACATACCTAAGTTCATTATTTATTACTTTAGTGTTTTAGCACCTACCACGTCTATCTTTTTCATCATATTTAATATTGCTGACGTCGTGCCTACTAAATCTACTCTTAACTTAGAAATCCTAATAGACACGTATCAAATTTGAATTCAATTTCCTTATTGGTCACGTTCAGCGCGAAGATTACGTGCCCGGTTGTATATCACCCATCATCATGTCCGAGGTCACCAAAGAGCTGACTAAGAAGGAGCCAGTCGCTCAGGCTGGGTGGCTTATGTTTGGTCTGTATTTTTAATTTAATGATGTAAAAGCCTTGACATGTATGCAAAATCAGTCACTGATTAAAATCATGATGCTTGCTCTTGTTTATAAAAAGTTACTTAGGATATGTTCTACGATACGTGTAGGAAATTTACGATTAGTCATGTGCTTTAAATCACATTGCGTTCTTTGCCTAGTCTACGTACGCAGTTGTGTAAGTATAGCTGAAAACACAAAGCCACGCATATATTGTGGAACGCGTCTCCATACGAATGCTCTTAACCCAATGAGTCCTTAAAAATTTAAGAGGATATTACTTGCTTACCAATAATGACAAACTAGGGCCAGATCAAATAAGGAACTGTGATAGGTCTAGTATTTGTCGTTCTAAATATTACTTTCCTTTTTTTAACGTTACTTTTGTTCAATTCTATTCTTATAATCAGACCATCCGTGCACGATACGCGAGGCACGCTGCTTACAACAAGATGGCGTGCTGCCGTCTATCACTCTGGCATTGATGCCTACGCCTCTACAAGCACCAAAAGCTGAGAACCCTCTAACACCCAAGAGAGGATTTTTCCATCAAGATTTCGAGGGACTCAAGTATGCGTACAAGGCGACTCTTAAGGCGAGCTCTAAATTACGTTCGCATTATTTAATTAATTAAAATTAATTTGTTCAATCAATATTGATAGCATTTCATGATGTAAATAATAGCACGTAGCTTAATATTTATTGTTCTCTGTTATCTAATAACTTACATATTTTAAGCATATTGCCTGTAAATTACCTGTAATATGTTTATTGTGTTTATAAAGATATACTGTTGTTAGGAAGTTCATATCGAACCCGAAGACACATTTAGCAAAATATCAATGAAATGTTGCAATGCTATTCGTGCCTGCGCCTCTGGACTTCAGGGCCCCTTTCAGGTAGGTACATGCTTATTGATCTAGTTATTTTTCATAGGTACGTAGATGACTGATAGGTTTATATTATAAATAATATTAAACCAAAAAATATAAAGAAACCATAATGATTATAAAAAAAAAGCCTATAAACCATTGTTGATGTCGCCACGTTATAGCCAATATAACATTTAAATAGATCCAATGATTAATTTCAAAACCAATGATCACTGTTTTGAAATTATTGGGGATCTAGCATAAAAAACCGACAGGATCTATACAAAAATATGTGGAGAGGTTGATTGGGAGAGAACACTATTAGCATCCTATTATTTCCTATTAATATTATAAATGTGAAAGTTTCTTTGTTTAGATGTTTGTCGGTCAATCACGCCGAAACTACTGAATGGATTTTGATGAAATTTGGTATACAGATAGGGTATTAGCTGACTTAGATAATAGGATACTTTTTATCCCACTACACATTTCCCTAGGGTCCACGCTGGCGAAAGCTAGTATAGTCATATAAGTAAGCATATAGGGATAAGTCCGCTGTTTTTGCCATGCTGTTCGTCAATGAAGTTTAATAAATAAAAATATTCTAGCTTATTGAAAATTTATTTACAAAAGTTTATTTATTAGTTGGCTTGCATGGGCAAGGACAAAGATATTTCTTCAAAAAGTTTTGTCTCCAGGGTTACCACGTGGTGGGGGCTCCTGGCGTGTACCGCGTGGTTCTCATAGGTCCACCAGGCTCCGGCCGCACCTCACAAGCATCACTGCTTGCAAAGCACTTTGGAATTTTTCACAGTACTTAGTTCCTCTTCCAGATCTTATTTAGATAATCTTGTTGAAAAATAATAGAAAAACAATGTGTCACTCGTGTCATTAGTAAGATATAAAACGGCACTGTCAGAAATTCTATTTTTCTCTTACAAAAAAGTTTATTACTTTATATTTAAAATAAAAATGTAAAGAACATTATTTTCAGTCAGTTTTCGTGATCTATACAATGAAGCGTTAGAAAGAAACGACGATATCGGTGAAAAGCTACGTAAGTTCGGGCCGAGTGTACAACTGAAAGTAGAAATTGTCAAACGACGTATTATGGAAAAAGTGGGTAGTTTTTTTTTACTAATTTATCAGAAGTTATATATTATATTATCGCCTAACATCCTACCTCCAACATCTTTTTCGGGTAGATTGGTAGAGAATGATTTTGGCATTAAGTCCGCCTTTTGTGTTTAAATGCAATAAAGCATAAATAAATAAATAAATATTTTATTTATTTTGTATGTATGTATGTTTGTCTAATATCTAGGACTGCATTGATCGTGGCTGGGTGTTGAGTGGTTATCCAAATAATGGAATTGATTTTGAAAACTTGGATAATTTGGCTACTCCGCCTAATCGGTAAGTTTACACAATAAGCACGATGTCATTAACATTACCTGCTTATATAGTGCCTATAAAGCGTAAGCTGGAATAAGTGGGAGAACGAAAGCAAGTGTTGTTTTTTAATCGACTTAAAAAAGGAGGTTATCAATTCGGGGTGCATGTATGTAATTTCGTATGGCGTCATATTCATATATGTTAGTCTATATGGGCTTCTAAACAAGTCTGCATAATTTTACAGATGTATGTATGTCTGTATGTTTGTCCAAGGTAATTTATTATTTTTGTTTTATTGCGCTTAGCTTTCAACTTAGGGTATACTACCAGTTTCATTAAAATCGGTCCAGTAGTTTTGAAGATATAAACTATTGAAAATTAAGCTTCTTATGAAAAGAGTAAATAAGTAAACTCCATTTATAAGTGTTACATACACCTTTTTCAAAGTCGGTTAAGAAAGAAAGAAATATATACAATTATTAAAAAAATTAAACCGACTTCAAAAAAATCTTAATTAAAACTACTGAAAAGAGGGAAATAATATCTCAAATTTTTATCTTTAATAAAATCGAAACACAAAAAGTGTAAACACCAACAATTTTCTTTTGAGATCGGTGCCAGATATTTGTAAGAAAAATATCATAATAAAAGATTTATAGATTTTTTGATAGTGCTGTTTTACTTTTTAGTAAACTAAAGAGAAGCCTGGCACCGACCCCAAAAAAAATTTGGTATATCCACAACATTTTTGTGTTTTGTGGTATTATTTATCTTTTCAGTCGTTTCTCTTTATTACGATTTTTTTGAGTAGGTTTTATCCTAGACAAAAACATGTTAAGTTGGAAAATTATTGAACTACTTTCCATTTTAGAGATCATGTCGCTTGGTTAGATAAATCTTAGTAGGTACATTAAAGAACTAGACTATGAATCAACTGAAACGAATTACTTTCAAAGAGAAAGTCTTACTGTCTATTAGTAGGTACTTATTTCAACTAAAACAGTTAAGTTATTGTTATATTACAGTTTTGAGTGCAAGCAAGTATTTTTTGATAGGACATTTTTAAATGTTTGAGTAATGATATTTTTTTGCAATACACCAATAATATTTATTCTGTGTAAGTCATCTATGTGATGGGATTCATTACTAAAGTAAACAGTAAAATTCAATAAAAAAAGAGAACAAGGCTGTGGTTCTTTATAATTAATAGTTAACACAAAATGCTATTATTTAATATGATTTTTTTAGCGATTAAAGTCCTCAAATATATTTTGTGCATATTAATTATTGACAGCGCCGAATTCTAGCCAAAAAAGTTTTTATCTGTACGATTACCATGTCGCAAAATGTATTTTAGTTACAGTCATTCGTGCCGGTTTTATATGTTCAAATATGTTCACAGCTCCACATTGTTTCTGATTTACAGCATTATCTTTCTGAACGCCAGCTGGGACACGTGCAAGAAGCGGCGACTAGGTGTGACTGTAGATTGGTGCACTGGCCGACCTGTCCCCAATGATGGTTCCAGCCCGCGAGCACTACCGCGCGCCGACAATACAGACTCAAATATCGAGTTACAAGTCTCTGACTTTATTTACTACAAAAATACATTAAAACTTTCAATTTTACAGGTGCTAGAGACGATTCGGTACCCGAACATTTTAATATGAATTCCAATAGCTTTATGAATACAAAGCTTCCAATACCTCTGCAAAGTACCTAGTGATGCTAAACAGAACGTACTATCATCAGCAGTGATGTGAATCGTAAAAAAAGTAGTGGACCTAATATACTACCTTGAGGATTCTTAAATCTGAGTGATACATATAGCACTTGCCGTCAAATCTAAAACACTATAATTTTATGGGATGTCATTTTCCTAAAGAAAACTTGAATATTATATAAATAACGTAGATACATACACTCATAAAAGCCAGTCCTGGTCCATAAAATATTATCATCATTAGTAAGTTTAATATAGATTGTTACAGATTTATCACCGAAAGTGAAAGGTGTGTATTTGTACTGCTTTCAATTTCACTTTTCAATTGCGCCTTTCATTCAGTCGCAAATAAAAATATGTAATTTGTACAGCGTCAGTCATTTTTGTTATTCGATTCTACAATCAGATCAGCTTCATACCAATCCAAGCTATATCGGCATAATTATACAGTTGAGGTTAGATTATAAGGAGTGTTCTATGTAATTTAGTTAGACTATAGCCTTAAAAAGCGAACTTGTACAAAGATAAGTACACACGCGTCAAGCAAGATTCCACATGTCGAATTGCTGCAATTGATTTTGAAATGTATTTTTAATGTATTAAAGTGTATAACGAGAGTAGATTTGAGTTTTATGAGTACTGACGTGCTATTGAATGAAACTTTGAATATTTTTTTTAAACACCATTCACAACAAGACATCAACAGTAAAAACAAAACGTATATTCGAGACACGGCGATTTTACCGCTATTAAGCAATTTCTGCATTATTTACAAATTGCATAAAATATTTGCAGTTGGACTTCTACTTTTCTGAAGCTCTGGCGGAAATGCGTGCTGCGGCCGGCATCACCGCAGTCGAGATCAATGCTAATGAGCCCTTCGGTAATTCTTGATTGGTCTCATTTGATGTGTTTTATTTAACAAGAGTATTCTGCACACTTATTTTCGCGATAACACTGTCCCATGTCCACTCTATTTGCGTACCTTTTCATATAAATTGATATGATAGTATAATATAGCTAATATAGTTTGCATTCTCTCATTACGAAGTGTTTTTCTAAAAAGAATTGACTCGGAGAAAACTTATTCCCTTTCTTCGTCGGTGCGCATTGTCTTTTCTAGGTCAACGACCTCCGTTTGCTTTCAGACCACGTTCAAGTGAAGCTCCAAGCAGCGGTCATTGCCGCGCCGGTGTTTGACATAGAAAGCTGCGCTCATATTAGAAATGTTCGAGCAGATTGATTTTTTATTTCTATTTTATACTAATACTACCCATTCTATAATAAAGATATGAAAGAGATAGGTAGGTAGTGAACGAAAAAAATAAACACTATTCATAGAAAATTGTTTTTTATTATGTACTCCTCCGTACTTCATTGAAATAATTAATTTACTACATAATTATTATTTAACTAATTATAAACTAACAATTCTGCAGTCTCATTACATACATACATTAAAATAGAACACTGAGGTAGCCTCCAGAGTGAATAGAGACTATATCGATTCATTGCTTTAACACAAAACATGAGGAAGACTAATGAATCGATCACAAACAGTCACGGAAATGTGTCCTCACAATTCGCACTCGAAACTATTGCTTTACTAAAATAAAAATGCATCATTTTATACAATAATTCACCAACACGCTCGCACATGCAAATACGCGCGCGACGGCAGATACTCGATCAGATCTCGATACTGCTAGGATCGCCGCACGCGACCCATTCATAATTCAGTTCACACAATAAATATACACAACACGAGTTAAACACTCCATAATCGTGTTAAGTTACAGGATGTGCACATAATAATAATAACAGTCTCACTGTGTGCACATTCTGCAGTGACCAGAGATCACATTGGATACAATCACATGGTCTTTACAGTCTGTTTGGTTACAACTCGTCCTTGAAATCTTCGTCGTCTCCTCCCGCGCCCGGGGGCGGTACACCTCCCTGGCCTTGATATAGCTTAGCGATGATCGGTTGTACAACATCCTCGAGTGACTTCTTCTGTTTCTTGTATTCTTCTGCATCAGTATCTTGATTGTCCTCGAGCCATTTGATCGCGGCGTCTATCGCTTCCTCCATCTTTGCCTTATCGTCATCACTGACCTGTTAACAAAAAAAATATATTGTAAATTTGTATAAGTTTCTATTATTAATTGTATAAAACTTCTGTAGAAAAAATTTCAGCCATCCTAACAGATGTGTAAATATACCAACCTTAGCACCAAGTTTTTCTTTGTCTTGTAGCTGGTTCTTGATCGAGTATGCATAGCTTTCCAGCTCGTTCCTGGATTCAACACGCTCCTTCAACTTCTTATCATCGTCGGCGAACTTCTCCGCGTCCTTTATCATCCTCTCGATATCTTCAGGTGTTAGTCTGTTCTGATCATTAGTGATGACAATCTTCTCTCGGTTGCCAGTTCCCTTGTCTTCAGCAGATACTTGCAATATACCATTGGCATCAATTTCAAATGTGACTTCAATCTGAGGGATACCTCTTGGTGCTGGTGGGATACCAGTAAGGTCAAATTTGCCAAGTAAGTGGTTATCCTTAGTCATTGGACGCTCACCTTCATATACTTGGATAGTAACAGTGTGTTGGTTATCACTGGCAGTAGAGAATATTTGAGATTTCTTGGTAGGAATGACTGTGTTACGTGGGATCAGTTTGGTCATGACACCTCCGACGGTTTCAATACCCATGGTGAGAGGGTTGACATCAAGAAGTACAATGGCATCTGTATCCTGCTCACCACTGAGTACTCCAGCTTGTACGGCTGCACCATAAGCAACAGCCTCATCAGGGTTGATACCTCGGGATGGTTCTTTGCCATTGAAAAATTCTTTAACCAATTGCTGAACCTTAGGGATACGAGTGGAGCCACCTACCAATACAATCTCATCTACATCCTTCTTGTTCATATCAGCATCCTCAAGTACTTTCTGGACAGGTTTTAGAGTAGATCTGAAGAGGTCCATGTTCAATTCTTCAAACTTGGCTCTGGTAAGGGTCTCTGAGAAATCTTCACCTTCGAAGAATGATTCAATTTCAATCTTGACTTGATGACTAGAGGACAGAGCTCTCTTAGCTTTTTCAACCTCACGACGAAGCTTCTGCACAGCACGGTTGTCTTTCCTGATGTCCTTGCCCTTCTTCTTCTTGTACAACTTGATGAAGTGCTCCATAACCCTCTGGTCAAAGTCTTCACCACCCAAATGAGTGTCACCATTGGTGGCTACTACTTCAAAGACACCATTGTCAATAGTGAGCAGAGACACATCAAAAGTACCACCACCCAAGTCAAATACAAGGACATTCTTTTCACCCTCTTTCTTGTCCAGACCATAAGCAATAGCAGCTGCTGTAGGCTCATTGATGATTCTCATTACATTAAGACCAGCAATTACACCAGCATCCTTTGTAGCCTGTCTCTGAGCATCATTGAAGTAGGCAGGAACAGTGACAACAGCATGAGTGACTTTCTTGCCCAGATAAGCTTCAGCGGTTTCCTTCATTTTTGTCAAGACCATAGCAGAGATTTCTTCAGGAGCAAAGATCTTATCTCCTTGGGAAGTCATAACTGAGACATGAGGCTTGCTGTTCTTTTCGACAACTTTGAAGGGGAAGAACTTCACATCATGCTGAACAGTAGAGTCACTCCATTCACGACCGATGAGACGTTTGGCATCAAAAACTGTGTTTTCAGGATTTGTGGTCAGCTGGTTCTTAGCAGCATCACCAATGAGACGTTCCCCATCAGCAGTGAAAGCCACATATGATGGTGTGATGCGGTTACCCTGATCATTGGCAATGATTTCAACACGTCCATTCTTATATACACCCACACTGTCGACAAAGAAAAAATTTCATTGTAGAGGTTTGTCATCTTACAGATTTTATACCATAAATTGATTAGTTTCAATCATTTAGTACTCAATCAATGATTTTTAATTGACAAGAAGTAGTTTTATTGTAAATAATCAATTTTCCATTCATGAACTGAATTATCGCCTAAACCTTTGACGGCTCTATGTTTGATGTAATAATTTTTAGTTAGTCCAATAAGAATTTCAACTCACCAGGAGTATGTGGTTCCCAAGTCGATACCGATGACGGTGCCGATGTCCTTATCCTTCTCCTTTTTGTCGTCGGCACAAACTGCCACGACCACGCACGCTAACGCTAGCAAACTCCACCGCATCTTTCGCACTTATGATTCCAACTGAAATGAAATCAATGACAAACTTTCAATAAATATGATTGTTCGAGTCTATCTTTAAATATGTATGGGGCACTGAAACGGTCAACGCAATCACTTGTGGGACACGTCATTTATTCTACCACCTACACGAGTAAAACTGCCAGCTGGTTAAATTATTCACTTATATGTGTAATCTACGATAATTATAACGGAGTTGTCTAACGGTGCTTCAGGCGTCCTGAGTTAACAGGGCACGATGCCGGCCACATAACCGTATCGAGAAATTTCGGTGACGTATCATTCATTATCTTCATACGAATCCAAACGGGAAATTTTTATTTGATCCTAACTAGAAAGCGTAAAACTATTCATTTTTATAATCATAATCAGATTTCCAACGTCGATACTACCACAAAAGAGCAGACCAGCCAGACAGACAAATTTAATCAAGTTGGAATTGGAAGCTGGACAATGAGACTATTATTAGAATTTTGCCATCTTACTAATTATGAGACACTTACCTAATTATAAAATAAAGATATAAAAGTTTCTCTTCAAAAAATGAATTTCTCAGGCACGTTATAGCACTTCGTAAAATACTCGCACGATAATTCACAAGCTATGATGATCCTATACTTTCGATTTTCTGTGAAGAACTGACGTTTCACACGCCGCCGCTCCTATTATTTAGCGCTAGTGTAGATCGTGGGCGATTTTCATTGGATGTCGAATTGCTGACGTAATTTTAGCCTTCCTGTGATTGGGCCAAGTATCGCTATTTGTCACAATTCTATTGGCCCACGTTTTTAACTGGCACAAAACACGGTTTCGATGTTCGCGGCAAATTATGAAATTACCAAATTCGTGTAAAATGTATTATTTTGTTATCATTTCGATAAATTTTGTAACAAAATATTACAATTACATCAGCTAAGCTTTTGATTATGGTTGATCATAAACTTAATACTTTTTAATTTTTAATTTCAATAAAAATAATACTACATTATAAAAAATAATACTACAGATTATGAAGTTTCAAAAGGAAACTTAAAGTTGGTTTTACTGAATGTATTTTGTCTTACATATCTCGATAAGTATGTATATTATTATAGCTTTGATTAACGTTTATTAACATTAATTAAATAATATACGTTAAAGATTACGGTATGTAAGGTCTGTCGTCATATATAAAAATATTTACAATATTTTCATCGTTTTTAAACATTTTACAGGACAATTATACGGTAACAAGCGTAGATTTATAATAACAAATCTATAATAACGAGCTAAAGAGAATGTACCAAGCTATAATATTCAAAGATCAATTTATGGGCCTGGTTGATTATTTACAAGCAATTCCCTTTAATTTAAAATATATAAACGTGTTAAATGGACATTAATGTTCTAAGATGCTATAGTATCCTCCTCAATAAATAATAATAAAACGAAAGTAGGTACAGAATTTATCCGAAAGGCGTAGAAGATTCTAGATTCTATCTAGAGAATTCGATTACAATACGCCCCTCCATGCAGATGTAGAGCTTACTTAATGAAAACTTACTTATTTATTTTAATGTACTGTTATTATTAACAAGTCGGTTTATATTGTTTATGGAATTGACTGAACTACATAAAGTTTTTTAAATCCTTAGACTTACGGCTGGTTTCTAAATTTAGAAAGTACAAATCTCAACGAATTATTTTTAATGACCTAAGTTTTTTACGATTTACATGAAAGTAAAACGCAAAAAGTCCTAGATCAAACTGCATTAATGAATCTTTAAAAAAAAAACAGAAACGAAAACCTGTTAAACTGACATTTGAAATGACTTAAGTACACTTTGAGACGTACTTGACTTTTAATTTCAAATTCAGAAACTAGGTGTATGTCCCTCGTATGTCCTTAATGGGTATCTGATACTATGGTAGTAGGGATTAACAACGCTAATGACGTTTTTACATCATAATGACCGTATTCATAGAAGCAATACCCTGACTGATAGGAAAATAAAAATAGACAAATATAAACGTTATAATATATTTATTGTATATTGAACAACAGTAAACAATGTACTTACACAAACCAACACAAATTGAGCAACAAAAATAGAACTCAAATACAATAATTAGCACCAAACCTATGAATATTATGCTTATTGGAACAAAGCCTATCTCACCCATTAAATAAAAATAAAAAAATCATTCATTCATAAACATTGATGAAGCCCGTTGAATAAGAATGACAAAATGTTTGAATTGGTACAAAACCTTGTGACTTGTGTATCGATTATGTATTAACTAAGAAAATATGCAGTTCTTTTCTCGCTTCTCTTTTTTTAATGTTTCCCTGATATGATACTTAAAATTAGAGGAGCGAAGTACGTAATAATGCAGTCAGCACCTGAAAAAAAAAGAAGATGTCAAAACAATGTTCTTATATAGTAGAATTACACATATTTTGATATCCACGGATACTCTGTGGATTCTCATGGCCCATCCTCCTAAACCATCCATAAGGAAGACCTGAGCCCCTGCAGTGGGGACGTACAAAGTGCTGATGATGACGACTCTACTGTAAACTCCAATTTGTTTTAGGTATACCAAGATATAATATACCCAAATAAAAAAATTTCGGACAAAGAATAGACATAAAGACAAGTAATAGACATAAACAAGAAACAAGTTAATTCTCAATGAAGGTTTAATTAACTGCGTTTCGCAAATAAAATTATTTTTTTAACTGGCGATTATTGAGGAAAATGTTCTTGGCGTCACATCCGTGGTACTTTTTAGCGAAGTTTAATGGACGTTTGTGCTACTGGCTATATGAGATTTCACTTAAGTAAATTCTAAGATAAACTCTGCAATTAACGATGAAAAACTAATCGATATAAAGAAGAGGCTGAGATGGCGGTGGGTGAGGACCTGGACTGGAATCTAACTCAGCATAAAAAGCAACACGGAGCTGACGCCAAAAATGTATGTTCTCATGAGTCACCCCAGCTTTTTTAATATATGCCCCGTTTGTTACTTTCGATTGTTGGTTGATGGTAGATTCATATACCTACCCCTTATCTTTTCATCTAAGTTTTTGAGAATCATAATAAATGTACATATTATCAATATCTACTTCAACTTAAGTTGTTTATTATTAAACAAGCCCACCTGCTCTTCTCATGCACGTGAGAATCTCCATGAGGGTTGTCTGTACTTCTGCGCTGTCACCGCCGCGCGCTATCATCGCATATTCGCCAGATACCTGCCCAAATATATTATAATTACATTATTGTATTTTGATTAATTTTACATTCACAATGCCATACTGAAAAATATTCTTAATACAAAATGCTTTAAAAAATCCATACCACGGAAAAATGTATTTATTTCTTTCTTGAGATTTGTTTTATTGATTTCCTTATGAATGTATTGTTTTAATTAATACACCTAAAAAATATATAGTTGCCAGATGTGGACCAAATTAAAATCGGACTACATGACAAACACTAGCTTTCTAATAAAGAAAGAATCATCAAAATCGGTCCACACAGTAAAAAATAAGTTAAAAAACAGTCGAATTGAGAACCTCCTCCTTTTTTTAAGTCATTTAAAAATAGTGTATCTATCGAAAGAAGTCGCATAATCGAGCATAACGTAAAGGTCGACAAATTTCCTTCGCTTTTATAACCGCGTGTATAGTTTGTTTAAAGGATAATTCGCCGCTGATATGGATAGAATATAACAGGGAAGTGGACAATAACCCACTAACGCGACCTTAGTAGCATGGCCGTTTTCAAATAACCATTACGCAATTAGGAGCGAAAGGGGAAATCTTTTTTTTAAGAGTGAGAGGAGGGTTTGCATTGTATATTTTTACATAGTTTCAATGATGGATCAAACGATGTTATTTAAAATTTTATTATATTACAATGTCGACCATACCTGATATATGAAGAGGGGATGATTAGGGAACTGATCCTTGGTTCGTCGCACTATGTCCAGATACGGTAACCCCGGCTTCACCATCAGGCAGTCCGCGCCCTCCGCCACGTCCCGCGCCTGCGCAACAACGCGGTCGGACATTTATACTTATGGCTGGCTTATAAGTAGTTAACTAAATTTAATAATTCCTTTATTTTTTTACAAACACCAGTTACATTAATATTTGAGGCCCTGACTTCTAAGCTAGTTTTACCTGTATTATAGAAGCCAGTGTCTCCCCAATGACATTTCAATATTTAGATAGGTACTAAGTACAAATAAGTTGGAATATCATAAGGAATGTAGAAAAAAAAATGGTTACAAACTTTCGTGCATACTATGTGTGAGTTTTAGTGCATGTCTAATAATTTATTTAGTATATGTGTGTGTGTGTGTGATATCAAGTGGACAACAATGATAGATGTTAGCGCATCTGATTAAAGCTTAGAGACTGATTGCAAATATAAGAATTATATTCACGACGGCAAATAATTTAATGGCGATTTACCGTTGTTTATTACTCTTTTGTGTTTAAATTTAAAGATTTAGAAATTAAAAAAATTCTAAAGGAGTGAAAACAGTATTTATTAAGTATATTAGAGGTTTTATCAGTCACTCATTTTACATATGGCAAAAAAACCGGTGCTTTGTGCCTCTGGTATCTAATTTTGTGCCACCTTGTCAATAGTAAAAAATTACAAGCGATAAATCAACTAGTGTGAATTACATCCGTGAAAGAAAAGGAAAAAGCCATTTATCGATTAGCATAAACTATAAACAGTTTATATTATCTTTACATATTTTTAAAAATTTTAAGTAATTCTTGAAACATTCTTTAACGCGTCAAACTTACAGCGGCCCTTGCTGCTAGACCGGCGCTGCCAGGCGGCAACTGGTAACACTTGCGGTCACTGGCCATCGGGGAACTCTTCATTGTATCGCGGAACGGACCGTACATGGAGGACGCGAACTTGCATGAATAAGACAACACTGACACCTGGTGAACAATAACATATGAAATGAAATGAAAATATCTTTATTCAAGTAGGCTATTACAAGCACTTTTGAATCGTCCAAAATATTTTTTCCCCTACCACTTGTTCAGGACGTCTTTTAGCTGACAAGAAGAACAAGCAAAAGAACCTTGCCAGCTTTTTATCATAAGTAATGACATTTACATAAATCATGTCATTATCAAAATAATAAGTATTAGCACAATAATAAATACAACTTTCAAAGTCTGTAGGACATAGGTTGAACATATAATTAGTCTTTATAGAACAAAGCGAAGGCTATTAATTCCATGCATTGCGATCCTTAAAATAATCATCAACTTATAATAGCCTTTACTCATAAGTATATTCTTTATATGAATTTGAAATTTATTTATGGGTATATATAGACAGTTACAGAGATGTGACTTATCTTAGATACAAGTATTTGAAATACAGATACAAGATACAAAATACGTATTTTCATCTTGTATCTAAAATACTTTTTTTAGGAAGTATTTTGTATCTTGTATTTAAATACTTTTGTTTAGTATCTTAGTATCTTTTAAATACTTTTTCTGATAAAATACTTTATAAAAAGATTATTTCTTACATTTTATAAATATCACAAAACATTCTTTGCCTAAAACGTACATATTTACAAAAAGAAAGTGTTCAATTATCAACGCAATGAATATTTAGTTAAAAATAACTCGAATCCAAACATTGTTTGGTGTCATTTAAAAAGTAAATGCGTAGAACTGAACGTACGCTTATACCGGTGTAATGCACCCTCCCTAGTAAAAATTGATAGATGGCGCATAGGGCTTGAAATCGAATAACCAGTTACAAGCAATAAAAAATCTTGATTTATGTAAAAACCCGGTTATATGCTATAAATAAAACTCAGTATATTAAACTCATTATTAAATTTTATTATTTTTTTGCACATTATACTTTTTCCACTAACAACAGCATTCAAAAAGTTTATTTTTAAAGAAATTTCACTGTGAAATTCGATACATGGCAAATGCTTGAAATTATATCCCGTGAGCAAAGCAATATTGCCTTTATTGACTCAACGGATAATCTTTTTCTATCTTTTGACCACTGCATATTCATGAGCGAAAAAAAAGAACAATATTCGCATTATGAGGCATAATACAAAAAAATACTGACAAATCTTCAGTAGTTCGGAAACGAGTGCTGTCATTGCATATATTGAAAATAATTACCCACTGCTTTTCAACTAATCGTCATAAAAATAAATTTGTTAATAGAAAAAAATTCTTCAAATAATTTCTTTGACATCGTCAATTAATACTCCTTTATTTTTCAAAAATACAACACAATCTGTGATGTAATCGTATAGTAGATTTTGCTTTAATAAGTAACCATTTAATTCAAGGGATCTTTATTGAGAAACAACAAAAAAATGGGCTGAGTCCTGTCTTAATATTAGGTCTTTACCTATGTAATTGCCGTTCTACTGTACTAGCCATTTAAAATCAAACTATTTTTTTTGGCTGATAATTCTAATATCAAATTATTTTTTCTTAAATCGTCATTTGTTCAATAGTAAGTGTTTTGTTTTCAATGAATTTGAATATTTTTCGTCGTCATGGATAAGTTAAAAATTCGAGTAATTATGGAGTATGTGTGCCATCGTGGCAGCAAAGCGGCACGCAACATTACAACGTTTGCAGAGCGAACACTACAAACGAACGCACCACCCGTTATTGGTTTGCCCGTTATTGGTTTACGAAAAGGTTGCTGTTTGGTGGTCTAACGCGGATGTATTTCATCACAGCTTCTTACCAAACAGGACGACCATTACTGCAGATTTACTGTGTGTATTGTGAAGAACTGAACACAATGACGGAGAAGCTGGCACAACTCCAACCAGGTTTTGTCAATCGTTCGGTTCCACTGCTCCTGCACGACCACGTACGACCTCATACTACACAATTGGCGGTACCCAAGCTACAAGAGCTGGGGTTTGAAGTTCTCCGTCATCCGCCGTACTTAACAGACCATGCGCCTACAGACTTCTTATTCTTCCTTCTGGAAGAATAAGAAGTCCAAATTCTTTTGGATAACGTCTTAGCGGGAAAAAAATAAATTCCCGAGAGGCAGTACAAAATGCCTTTGAAGTATTTGTTGCCTCCCGTCCAGCTGATTTCTTCAAGAAGGCATCATTAAGCTTCCAATGCGTTGGCAAAGATGTATTGATTGCATGGGTGATTACTTTGATTAATAGAAATAAGAAAATAAAGCTTCATTTATTTTATTAAAAACGGAAATATCATAAATAAAGACTTAATTAATACTTCAAATCCGGTTGGGACCGGATTTATCCGATCAGATGGTAACTAATGGCGCATTACCAATAGTACCAGCAATGCCAACTCTACGTCTTTTTAGGTACATCTACGTATTATAAGCCTTTCCTACAAACCAACGTACTATAATCAACCACAGAAGCTAAGTATTTTCTACTAAAAATTTTCAAATTAGCTTAACACACTAATGGGGCATAATTTTCGGTAATTCTGCAAAAAAAGTTAATATACGTTCCGTTACATACTATCGCACATTCACCTCGTCACAAGTCACGCCATTAATTTTAAAAACCAAGTTCTGTATTTATTTTTACCCATTCTCTTCATCTCACTAGGAAAAAATGAATTTTCAGTTCTCCGTAATTTTACGTCGTACGTAAAACCAGCTTTTTAAATAAATAATAATTTTATATATTATTTTGTTGTTATATTTCACTGAAATGAAAAATAATTGCAGCAATTTTTCATTCACCATGCTATATTGAAAAAAAATATTATTAAAAAGGAACTAAAAAATTTAAAATAATTTAAACCTGATGTATTAAATATTTGCATTTTTATATGTTACGTTGTGATTGACAAACAAATAAAACGGAGGAAAAGTGGGTGAAATTTAGCTTGTAAGATTTGAGTACAAACACAGGTGAAACTAAATAAAAGCTTACAAAAATTGTTTCTAATGAAAAATGCTTAAAAAATCCACTTTGTCCCTGGAACCATCTGGTCTAAGATTTAGGTTTTTGTGGTCTTTAATAAACAAACTGAAATTCAAATCTTTTTTTAGAAAAGTATTTGTATTTATAAAAAGTATCTATAAGATACCTATTTTGTATCTAGTATTTCAAATACTTTTCTCGAAAGTATTTTGTATCTGGTATCTGAAATACTTAATTTAAAAGTATTTTGTATCTTGTATTCCAGATACTTTGTACAGGGTATTTTGTACATCTCTGGACAGTTATACCTAAGTGTGACACGGAAGATGTTTGTATGATGGCCGTTTTGGTATCTCGTGTCAATGTTATAGTAAATTAATCATGCTAATTAATAGCTACCACCTTTGCTAGTCAGGCGTGTTGAGAGTTCGTATATACATATGTCGCAGTAAAATAGAAATAGTCGTAATATAGTAAGTCGTATTATTAAAAAGACGACGACTAGGTAAAAAAAGAAATCCCGATAATAGAAAAATATTAGATATTTTATTTTGCTTCAATTTCAACAAGAAGTGGCTTAGATAATAGGTATTAAATTAAGGAGTGGGGGCTCGCTACCAACGGCTAACTACGGGGCGGCAAATCGGCAAAATGCCACGGGCCCCCGGTCTGAGGAGACAAGGAGTCTCATCACATTCTCCTGACATTCATTATTACGCAATTAGTAAAAAAAATTAATATCCGATGAATTTGCCACGGGCCTCAAACGCTATAGTTACGCCATTGCTCGCTACGTCACAGTTTAGTAGAAAATGTACAGAATCGTGACGTCATTCGACATTTCAACTCAATGTATCGCCATAATTTATTGATAACGCAAAAAATTACGTATTTAATATACTTCAATAATCTACCTGACGGACAAACAGACAAAATATTAGTCGTCATCCCTATTATATACCGGAATATTTTATCTTAACTATAAACAAGTTTAGTATGGATATGGATTCTACGGTTGATTTATAACTCATCATCACCAGCCTATTAAGCCCCAACTGCTGGAGCTCAGGCATTCCATTGGATGGAATCGAATTAAATCGAACTGGGAGAACGAGCCATGACACAGAGCGGATTAGAGAGTGTTAACGTTTGCAGAGGCCTTCCGAAGCAAGGAGGAGGTCGAGATAATATTTTTTTTGTCACCCATCCTACAACCGGCCCTTGCGAAAGTTGCCTACTAACAGTATCGCAGACGAAGCGCGCTAACCACTACGCCATCGAGCTTTAATATTATAGATATTTAACTGGATTAGTTTAGTTAAATAATCATATTAATAGATTAAGACCTTGAGACAGCAATGAAACTATTTTGTATAATTATCTTCAGGTCTTACTGCGACATATACAACGCAAGCCTTCACGCGGCTGTACTGTATGAATAACAAGTTTCAGCTATTGTATTTCCTTCGTAACAACATAAAAAAATAATGTTTCATTTTATCACGTGACCATCACGTGTAGCTTTAGAGCGGTAGCAATGACACGTCTTTTCTTCACGTACGTAAACTAAAGTTCTCATTACGCATGCCATATAGAGATGGTAGCGATCATATTACGTTCAAAAGGAATATAAACATGTCTATTGTGAAACTTTGTCACCCCCTAAAAAGGGGGTGGGCCGCTCCCCGCCCCCACTACGCTATGTCACTGGGTATTAATTATGATGCAAAGTACCTAACAGTAGAATATTGTAATAAGGAATAGTTTCAAATCTTGTATGGCAGAAACCGCTACTCAACAGATACGCGTGACGAATTATAAATTTAACGATAAAAAATTCTATTCATATAGGCACAACTGGCTTCATCTGTGCTAACATTGTAAGCGGGTATTACTTTTCATTATTATTATTAATATATTGAGTCTGTCACCTTATAGATAACTACACTTTTACAACTTTAATGATTCCACGTTTTTCTCACCATAAGTAAAGTAAGTAATAACGGTCAATAACTAATCGATTTATTGTTAATTAGATACTTTGTACAATCAACAGCACGATAGGCTATACAAATATGTCAAACTCTGCTCAATTTTAAAACTTAATGCTTTGAGGGTAAACTTAAAATCGAAAGGTAAAATTTACCATTTTTGGTAATTTGTGGTGCATTCGTCTGATCTTCACGCCAGATCCCGAAAGAACTGACCACGACGAGGGACTGTTTTTATAGACATCCTTCGCTTCCTTGACATTCATAACTCCTTTGCTCGCCGGTTTTTATAGTTTCTGACTGACATCAGCGTTACCATGCTAATAACATGCGGTCAGTTTGGTCACACTAACAAAGCTTGTTTTTATTTTTAAATTAAATACTATACTTTACCTGATTTTCTAATTTGTGAGAAACTAGTGCTTCTTTGATTGCTTTTATTCTGTTGTCCATCATATCAGAGGGTGCTACAATATGGGCACCTGAAATTAATTAATTACTTACTAAGCAGACTGTCTTATCTTATAGATGAAGGAAGAGCTTATGTAAAAATGTGTCAGTTGATCCTTCAGTATTTGGAAGTACTATATACATCACACAGTACTTAGTGCAGAGGTCAGGTGTTGGATCACCTGCTTGTGTAGAATGACAATATCAAGAATCGCTTTTCCTACACCAAATGTCACTTTTCACTGACTGACAGTGAGATATCGCATGGGCGCACCCGGGAAAAGTGAAATAGATAGTCATACTATGCGTGTTAGTTGCGTGTTATTTCCAATGACATCTGAATGTGATCTAAATGGAAGTCTAAGTATTTTTTCCAACTAAGTACAAAAAATTTTCAACCATCATTAAACTTTTTTGGAGCTAATTTTTGCACCACCTTCATAAGTCAGTTGGGATCTGTTAAGTTACATGTTTTACAATTGTGTGGAGTAATTTATTAATTATTATATTTCTTTATATTACTAAGAGTCTTGTAATTTTTTATTTAACTATTATGAAGCACATTCAAAACATGTTAACTTTCATGTGCGCCACTACCGTCAGGTTTACCAAATAATGCCTGGTGAGCACTGGGTACTGGGTTATACTTCCACATACTGAAGTATCAACTGTTACAAATGCTTGCAGATTTTTTCCACAAGCTCTTGAACTGTAACACATTCCTTTCAATCCAATTTAGCCTGATTAAGCTAAACTGCACAGAGAAAAAATAGACTACTTTACTGTCTCTTTCACATTCTCTTCCCTATCATAGTTCATTTTTTATAGTAAAATTTTTCTTACCTGCCTTAGCATATGCCAATGCAACTTCAGCAATTCTTTTAGTGGAAGCACCATGATCAATGGCTCCATTTGCACTGAGTAGGCCACAGTGCCCATGTGAGGTGTAAGGACACAGACAGACATCACAGGCCAGCAGTAGGTCAGGAAAAGCTTCCCTTAAGCGTGGAAGTGCTTTTATTACTGGATTTTCAGGAGTATCTGCACTTGAACCAATGGCATCCTTAAAAAAATATAAAATAACATTTGATGGATGATAAATAAGCAAAATTTTGAAAAATTTGATGCTGCATGTGTAAATCTGCTATCAAATCTATCAGAGCCAAATGGTGTGAATTTTCTTGACATCTCACATGTCAATGACTAGTGTATATTGTAACAGGGTTCCTTATTTTTTAAAACAATATAATCAAACAGAAGATGCATCGCAGAACATCAGAACTATAGATTACAATTTTGCTGCATTAAACAACAAAAAATTGTTTAGTCAGTCAGTCAGATGATACAAAAATTTCTTTCATTTGATGTCTTTTCTCTCATGATGCTTCACATAAAATAAAAGTCAGTGCTTTTGGGTATTTCCTCAAGCCATTTATGGTATTTGTCTGTGGAAATCTGTATTTCTTGATTCATATTTAAAAATAAATTATTTGAATGAATATTTTAAAACCTACAATAGAATTCATGTAATATATAATCTAAAATAAAATTAATAGTATATTACATATATATAATCATATATTACCTTTTCTAAAGTTTCAACAATTCCAAATATAAGAATTGACTTCAGTCCTTTAGCCACCAAATCTTTAAGGGCAAGCATTAACTGGTTAATGCCATACCTGTTGACATTGGGCAAGCTTGATACTGGTTGTAACGCATTGTCATTTTCCCTACAAAAGTTAATTAATTTTAGGTTGGTCCTGTATTGGTGTATCTGAAAACTCTAGCCATACTGTGTTCTGCTTAAAATATTTACTATAATATTATTTTTTATCTCCTATTTAATAAATATACTTCTATTTCTGTAAACTAAGATAATAGAAGTAAATTTATTTAATAAGTGATAAAAAATTATATTAAAGTAAACCTAAAGTAAATATTAAAGTTTAAAAAAGATTAAATAATTATATTTTATTGCACACTACAAAGTAACCAGATAAGAAATAAATATACAAAAGGCGGCCTTATTGCTAAGCAGCAATCTCTTTCAGGTAACCCATGTTGAAAAATAAATAATTTAAGAAAGACTGAGGGGGGAATGGGTGGATTTTATAGTTCAATTAGAAGTCTTGGTTTGATAATTAGTCGAAAAACTTCTCTAAAAACATCCAAATCGTGAATTCTAAAAAATACTCTGCATTATTTGGTACAAGGTTAATATTTCCTGTATTTTATATGACTTTCTTAATATAAAAGTAGATTGTACTATACTTACAGTAAGAAAACAGGATACATAATATTATGCGGTTCTATACTAGTATTAGGTTCTTGTAACTTTCTCAAAGTTGAATGAAAATATCCTCCTTGAAGGATATGCTCGGGACTTGAAAACAGATTCATAGCTGGTTTAGGTAAATCTAAATACCATTAATATCAATATTTTATCCACAAAATCATAGGGCGATGCAATTCAAATTAATTTTGTATTTCTCTTTGATTGATATGTTCAAATTAAATTATCATATCGAACATTACGATAAGAAACGATGAAACTGCACGACTTTCTTCACAAACTACTTTCTTCTTCTTCTTCTTTTTTAATTCATGGCCTATTTGCGTTTACACAATTCTGCCAATGTTACGTTTGTGGTCTTTACACGTAAAGAAACAATAATAAAATATGTCAATTTTAAATGTTGGCGTAATAGATAGAACAAAAAAAAAAAAACTCTGAGCGCGTCTATATGATTACATTGTTAAAGTAAATACAAATAGAATGTATATAGAAAAAAGATTTTTATAAATTAAGACTACTATTGATTGCTGAGAATTTACATAAAATTTTGAATAGGCTGGGTTCCTTCATACTCAAAATATATTTTTTATTTGTTGGACAAGGAACTTTTGATGGGAGCAAATCATAAAGGGAAGTGGATTTGCAAGGGAAATGGATAACTTTATCCTATTATTGGTTAAAATTATGGAATGGATTTATCCTTTTTTCCTCATTAATGAGGAAGTATTAAAAAAAATTAAAGCACTAAAAAGCATCTCCACTAGATGGCGACATTAGCAAACGTTGATTTTTGCATATTGTAGGCTTCAAAATATATTTTATATAATTTATACGATTGAAGAAACTCAGAAGTATATTTTTTTGAGACTAGGGTAATAAAATAATGAAAATTGAAAAACCACAGATTAATACATTCAAAGATTTATTAAATTTAGGCATAGGAGCTAAATGACAAACGTAAATTAGCCGTATCAAGCAATACATCGAGTATTACCGGTAATTTTTATATGTACTTTCGAGTACCAGTATCGAGTATCGCTTTTAATATATCGATACCTACCCAGAATCTAAAGTATCGTTTGAACCCCACACATCTCTACTTTGCTGTAGGCAATTCGATAGAGTCTGGCAAGCGAAACGTGTCACAAGAAAAGGGCGGCAATTTCAAAAATTCTTAAGCAGTAAACACTGAATGTAGTACTGCAAAATAATTTTGATACTTTTATTAATTATATTTAATCTTAACATTTAGATATCAATTAAAATTATTTGTTTTGGAACATTTGACTAAAGCGTGACTGTTCTTAATTGTACAGTTAACAACATATCAGTAGGCCTATTCACTAACTCAACTGACAACCAAGAATCGTCATCACCGTAAAAAATAGACACTTTGATTGTGTCAAAATCACTATTTCGTATTCTCTATCAATGATGAGCAATTTCGAAATGTCAATATCGGCATTCTCCACTGGACTCCATTTTGACACTTGATTTCGTATCGATAAACTGTATTAAAGTAACATTGTTGCAAAGCATATTTGAAGTCGTCGCATAGTACCTCTTAAGCCATTTGTTGTTAAATTAAAGCGAAAAAAAATACGTATCCAATATTTTTCTATTATCTGACTGACGGACTAAATCGAATCTTTTTTTTAACCCATTCGTTATACCTATTGGCTAACAGCACTTATAATATTAAAAATTCATATTTGTCATTAATTAAAAGGGTGTTTTTTGCAACGACTTCTTTGTTTTTTTGTAATGAATATGGGCGACTCTGGCCACATTTTTTTAATAAATGTGATGTTAGCCAATTTTGATTTCTGGCCCTTATATTTATAATGTGTTCATAACACATACATGTCTCCTAAGGGATTTTCATCACAACCTTTTGCTCTGATCCAGAACCACTATCTATCAAATTAAATTAGTCAATATAAACACCAGATTACAATAAAAAAAACATTTATTTTTGTTACAATTAAGTGCCATGGATAAATTACATAATACAGGTGTCACAAAATCATCATGTTAATCACAATAGAAAATTTAAGATAAGATTTTGACTATGAATCAGACTAAAAATACTTTAGTCTGATTCATAGTCAAAATCTGTTTCTAAATATTCTACACCTGATAACAATGACAAGGAATCATCAGAGTCACTCTCTTCACTACTGTCTGCACCAACAGATATAATAAATTTTTCAAGTTCGTTTTCAACAATGCCATCTTTTAATTTGTAATCATTTTCGACATTTAAAACATGATCAGTGTATTTCTTCCAGTCACTAGGGGTAATTAAGTTAAAACACTCTATTATTAAGTTTACCATTTCCTTTCCTGGTATTCCAATGTTTCTGCTTGCAATTTTTCTTTTTGCTTGACTCCAAACCATCTCTATTGGGTTTAAGTCACAATGATACGGTGGCAGCAATAAAAGTTCATGATTATGTTCTTTTAAAATCTCTTCAGCTTCATATACAGGCAATGTTTTCTTATCATTAACCAAACACATTAACTCTGCCTTTGTCTGATATTCCTCAAAATGTATTCCATTATTTACAAGCCATTTACGGATATCTGCTTTGGTATTAGACATTATAGGCGGTTTATTGATTTGTTTTATATGGTAGCTGGCATTATCCATAACAATTACACTGGGCTTACTTAAATTTGGTATTAATTTTTCTCTGACCCATTTCATAAAGTTCGATGAGTTCATATCATCATGATAATCAGCAGATTTGGATTTACTACTGAACACTAATAATGCACCAGGCACAAAACCTTCCTCAGATCCAGCATGCACAACAATATGCCGTTTTCCAGAGGATATCTTTGTAGTGACACCAGTTGTTGAAGGTCCTTGCCAAGACTTTTTAACTTTATAATTCTGATGTACATAAGTTTCATCAAGGTACACAATTTGCTTTCCTTCGTTTCGTTTTATATTTATTTCTCTCAAATACTTGTGCCTCCATGCAGAAATCTGGTATTTTTCTATAAGCATAGAACGTTCATTTTCATTGCTTTTAAAAGAAAATCCATTCTTAAGCATAATTTTTCGTAAAGTCTCACGGCTACCACTGAATCCTATTGCATCTTTTAATTCATTGTGAAGGCTTCTTAATGTTGGAACAATTTTTTTCACACAGTAAAATTCAGTTACTTTATTCCGAATTGCACTTAAATCAAAATTATCTAAAGCAGACACTGTTGGTTGATGAGGTCGTTTTTTCCCAGGAGTGTCCCATTTTCCTTTATTAATTAATGCTTCATTTTTTATCCTTCTTAGTGTCCTTATACTTACATCTATAAAAGATTAAACACTTTGAAACAAAGATATGTTAAATGTATTTAAAAGCAAATAATGATAGACACATACATCAAAATAATTTAAATACCTATTCAACTATGAATGCAATTTATGTTTAATTTAGTTAAGTTTATGTGCATATTTAGCATGTATAACAATTACATGGTTTGATTAGTTTCATGAATTCTGTGAATTTCCTTGTTAAACAAAACATTCTTATGACATCATTGGATGTCAACAATAAAAACCAATACATCATAAAAAACCTATGTAAATATTATAGGAATACTATCAATCTATCTTAAATCAAAACAAGAAAAGAGACCTGTCATTGAAGAAATTTTTTGTAAGTACTGCGTTTCCGAATTCAGCATTTCTTGTTTTTCTAAAGTTTTTATTGCATTTATCTCCTCCATTATTGGTTGAATATCACCATCACAGTTATCTGAAATAGAGCAATATTTTATAAAAAATATCTGTTTAGTTAATTACAGAAAATTAAAACGAAAGTATCAAAATTATAATACAAAACTAACCTAAAAAAGATACAACTTTATCTAATCGTTGTAATTTCTCCATGAAATTTTTATTTAATTCAGTTTTCACTTCAGTAAACTTGTCAATCATGATGGAAAGAAGTTTCCTCGATGAACTTTTTATCGGCTTCGACATAATTTTTAACCAAAAACACAAGTTCAAATTCGCAAAAACAACAAAATTCAATATTCTTGAATTGTCTAACGTAGTGTCAAACTGACAGTTCTATGTTGTTGCCATATGAAAACGGAAAAATAGGTGGTGTCACGTTTCGCTTGCCAAACTCTATGATGTTGATTCACTTAAAAAAAATCGACCTCTGATTCAGGGGTCGGAAACCGGTATATTTTTCGAAACGTTTTCATCTTAAATACCTAAAAAACACTTTGTTTCGGTTTCGTTCGAACAGAACGATATAAAAAACGGTTTTGGAAAAAAACAGAATTATATTGTTTTTGGTTAATAAAACGTTTTTAACCATTTATTTTGCGTTTTTTTGCATCGCATACTGTAAATAACGTAATAAAATAAATGTACGCCGCCCTTACAGCCCGCGCGGCACCGTCTTGCGCATTGAAACGGTTTTTTAAAGCGTTCTCAATACGTTTTCGTTTCGAACGCAATCTTGCCCAAAGAACCATAAGAAACGTTTTAAAAACGTTATTTTGAATAACGTTTCCGAGCCCTGCTCTGATTAGATTCGAATCAAATATACTAGAATCTGTTCTCGATTAAATCGAGTATTGAAAGATCGATTTTTGATTAATCCCGAATTTGTCAATCAAACATGCCTTATATTGACACAGAGCATTATTGATGATAATTTACCGTTTCATTACTTGTAGAAATTGTAGAAGACCAATCAGGCAGTCTGTCTGTAGTCCAATCTAAATAAGTCAGCCATAAAAAATAAATTAATCAAATATAAATGACAAGAATATCATACCAAACGTCAATATTCGAATGCGTTAATAAATATTTATTTTATGCGTTCAAACTATCAATTCGTCCGACTAAAGCAAAATATTAAAAAACTAAAAATATCGTAGCCAATTTAGGGTTTTGTAAATTGCTAGTTCTTGAATTGAATTGAATCGGTTTGATTCGAGGGGTTCTTGCCTCGGTTTAAGAATCGATGTGGCATTCCAATTGATAGATTTTTCGATCAATCGATTTCTGATCGATTTGCCTACTTTCCTGTCTTATTATGAAGTTTCACTGGTATATATCACATTGATTAATTCTGGAGATCTATTTCCATATAAAAACTATTGTCATGATTTAATTGCTCAAGCTAAAGTTTCTCTTGAATTATCGTGGCAGGAAAATTGGCAATTAAGCAGTGTAAATAAAGGAAGATTTTATAAGCATATTCAGCCTA